TTGTCAATTTTATTAGCATTTTCAAAACAATAAATTTTGAAATTTAGTTCTCTATTGTATGTTTTTCTATTTATCTAATTTCACATTCTTTCTTTTTCCCTGTCTCTTCTGTGTTTATTCTTTTGGTTTTTTTCTAATTTAAACGTTACTTGCTTGGTTCATTAAATTCCAGCCTTGTTTTCTAACACTGTAAGCATTTAAGTGATGTTTTAGCTACATCCCACAGGTTTCGATATGCAGTATTTTTATTATCATGTAGTTCTAAATACTTTCTACTTTCTAATATTTCTAAGAGTTACTTAGAAATATAAATTCCTAACGACATGGATTCTTCTGATTATCTTTAGGTCACTGATTTCTAATTTAATTGCTTTGTAGTAAAATAATGTGTTTTCTGATACCACCAGTCTTCTGAAATTTGCTGAGACTTGATTTCTGGCCCAGGATGCCATCAGTTTCCATAAGTATTCTATGTGAACATGAAAAAATATGTATTAAGAAGTTGCTTCGGGCTTCCGTGGTGACGCAGTGGTTGAGAGTCCGCCTGCCGATGCAGGGGACACGGGTTCGTCTCCCGGTCTGGGAAGATCCCACATGCCACGGAGCGGCTGGGCCCGTGAGCCATGGCCGCTGAGCCTGCGCGTCCGGAGCCTGTGCTCCGCAACGGGAGAGGCCACAACAGTGAGAGGCCCGTGTACCGCAAAAAAAAAAAAAAGTTGCTTCACTTAGTATGTTGTAAATGTCGCTTAGATCAAACTTGTTAATTGGGTTGTTTAAATCTTCTTTATTCCCAGTCTGCTGGATTTATCTACTGTTAAGAGTGGTGTGCAGAAATCTCCCACTATGATGGTGGGTTTATTAACTCATGTTATTTATATTTGAGGTACATGCAGGTAAATCGACATTTTTATCATTTTGAAGTAATTCTCTTTGTATCTAGTAATTCACTTTTGCCTTCGTTTCCTCTGTCTGATCTTACTGTAAAGATTCTAGCTACTTCCTATCCATCCATTTCTCCCTCCCCACAGGCAGCCTTTGTTGGAATTTTTCTCGTGTATCCTTCCAGAAAGATTCTATGCACATCAAAGCATAAACAGAGACATTTTTCATTTATTTCCCTATACACATGGAAGTATACTAGACTCTGTTCTGTCCTTTAGCTCTTTCCACACTCCAAAATGTGTCCCGGAGAACACTGAGTGGCCTCCTCCTTCTTTTAAATCGCTTGTCCTGATTGCTTTTAGGTTCTCCCCCTGGTGCTGTCACCCTCCCAACTGTTGCCAGAGTCATCTTTCTAACCTATAAATGTGATGCTGCCTCTCTCCAGGGCTCCCCATCACCTGTGGGTGAAGTTCAAGATTCAAGTCCCTCTTCGCTCGGGTCCACTTCTCCGTGTGCCTCTATTTGCACTTTCTCCCTTTTCCAGCTCCTTCTGTGTTGTGCTTTAGCTCATTTCAGGGCTTCACCCCAGCCACTCACGACTTTTCAAATAGGCCATGTGTTGCTTACTCTCCTGTGTTTGGAATGCCCAGCACGGTTTGTTTAAACCTGAAATCTCAAACATCTCTTATTGCTGGCCTTTCTGAAAGTCTCTGAGCCCTCCCGGGGAGTATGGGCACCTTCCCCCTGCTCCCATGTGCCCTGTCTTGGCGCTGAACACGGTGATGAATCCGTCCTCCATTAGAGTTGGCGCCATGTGGCAGAATTACTTGTGGAACTTGATAAAAATGCACATGCTCAGCTGTTACCCCCACAGATGTATTCAGTAGATCTGGTTCTGACCCGTTGCTGGATTAAGTTCCTCTGGGGAGGAGATGCCTCTTACCCATCGGTCTTTCTCTAGTACCTGGAATCTGCCCCATATGAAGTAGGAGAACAGTAAACATCAGAAGAACATGCTAAGACTAGAAAGGAATGAATATAGGGTTCCAAGTGAAGCAAGGATTGATTGATAGGACGAACTTTGATTCTGCAGCCCGTGGGGAGTGGGTTGAAGGTGATTGCTTTTAGGAGAGTGGTGACATCACAGTGGTGTTTTAAGATTAATCCAGCAAAAGAATACAGCAAAAGGATGGTCAAGAGTGGAAAATGCAAGAACAGTCAGATGTAGTAAAAATGGTCCTGAACTCGGGAGGGGGACCAGAAAGGAAGTGGATCCAACTGACATTGGGCAGGAAAAATCAACAGGGCTGGGCAGCTGGTTGGTTGTGAGTGGCAGAGACAGGGAGGTGTCAAAGATGTCCCCAAAGCTGTTTGTGTGACGAGGCTGAAAGCCACTGTGCCTGAGGACGGGTCTTTGACAAGATGACTCATCTCTGGGGTTTGGTGAATAGTGGAAGGACCTAGCTCCTTGGGCTGCTCTGCAGACCTGACTGTGGCCATCTGGAACTTTGACGGAGTGGGGTGATAATGGGAGGAGGGCTGGATGCCTTCCATCCAGGCCATTCTAGGTCTTTCTGGAATATGCAGGGGAGGATGAAGAGGAGGAGCTGCCTTCCTCTCTGGCTCCAGTGCACTCACTTTGGAGGTTCACTTGCCCCACCAGCTCCACCAGCTCCACCAGTTCCACGAGCACCATCAACCTGGATGGCTGCTGTGCCCTGACCGGCCATGCTCGGCAGACAGAGATTTACCAAGACTGTAGATCACTTGTGACCTTCAACCTTACCAGAAAAGGCTGTTACTAGTAAATACCGAGCTACAAACACAGGAAGCCCAAGAGAATAAACAGAAACACACACACGCAGCTCTAGTTTCCCTTCGTGGTGCCAGCTTGTGGCGCCCCCGCAGTCAGCCTGCTCTGCACCCTCTGGCAGGAGTCGGTTTCTTCATCTATGGAGCCCTCTTAGTCTGACCCTGGCCTCCCTTTTCTAAAGTGCACTGTTAGCAAACACAAAAAGTGAGCCCTTGTTTGGGCAAGGAGACTAGATACTGTGCGGTGGTCATGACCTCACAGACTCACGGCTCTGGCTGCTGTGTCAGACGGATCTGCTCCTGCTTCTTTATCTCACGCTCTCCCCTTTCCAGTGCAGACCTTGCCCCCCGCTCAGAAATCCACGCCCCATAGTGGCTCACCCATGGAATTCTATATTTTTGGCCCCTGGGGAACTAGGACCAGGGAGCCCCTGGTTCTCAATTCCTTAAGAGATGAAAGAAGATTGACAGCTTGAGCCTGTGAAGGATATTGAACCAAGGTTTCCACTTTCTCCCCAACAGACTCTGGAGAATTCTGATTAGCTTCCTCATCTTCTTTCAAGGGAATAATTTGGAGAAGTCTAAACACTACAGTTTTACAGCATCAGAATAGCTTTTAAAACGCCAGTAGCACAGGAGAAAGGTGTGCTCTCGGATGGTGTAGTCAGTTACCACCCTCCGCCCCACGGAGGTACCCATGTGCTGTCTCATTGCACAGATCCGGAGCCAAGTTCCGGGTCCTGCCCCACCGAGCACACGGTCCCCCAGGTTCCTCATTGGAGGTGAATCAGTACCTCGCTTCCCGTCTTTCCTCTCACTGTTGTCAGGGGAAGACTCACTGCCTGGCCGCCCCTCCCACCAGATGGCACCTATGGTGGTTTTAGCTCACATGCCCCTCGGGATTCTTTAGGGGCTCATAAGGCCACCTGGTGGTGCTTTCAGTCTAGGGAGGGGTGAGCATCTATTTCCTCACTTGCCGTAACATCAGGTCATATGTAATGGACAGGAGGTATATTCCCTTATTCCCTACTAGCCTTCTTTGGTCTTCTGGAAGGTTTTGTTGAACTCAGTTGTCTGTTGTTCAGGGGCTGAGCTGAATTTCCTGCTGGAACAGTCAGAGGACTGTATGAGACTAGGGCTCAGGGGGGACAGTTTCAGTGTCCTTGTTCCTGAAAGTGGGAACATGAACTTCCCGATGGTATTAACTGATGGGACCTTAGCATTTTATGTAGAAACTGCAGTAGTATCACGGCCTCCAAAGAGTCTGGAATTTCGGAGATGTCAACCAGACTTCCATTAGTAATTTGTTAGCTCTTGTCACTTTACCTCAACTCTGAACTGTAACGAGGCTGGAAAAGGAACCATAACGTTGTGGTGTCTGAGGCAGAAAAGAACAGAATTTATAAGCAGTACAGGGAAAGCCTGAGTCTGAGTGTGACGGAGCGTGAAAGTACAGACCCGAAGAGCAGAGGATGGCACCAGAACATTATTTCATCAAATTTTCAGCGCGAAAGAAATTTTTAGTACACCCCTCTTTCCTTAAAAATAATTCTTACTACTACTCAACCATAAAAAGGAAGGAAATAATGCCATTTGCAGCAACATGGATGGACCTAGAAATGATCATACAGTCAGACAAAGACAAATATCATATGATATCACCTATATGTGGAATCTAGTATATGAACTTATCTACGAAACAGAAATAGACTCACAGACATAGAGAACAGACTTGTGGTTGCCAAGGAGGAGGAGGGTGGGGGAGGGATGGGGTGGGAGCTTGGGGTGAGCAGATGGAAACTATTATATATAGGAGGGATAAACAACAAGGTCCTACTGTACAGCACAGGGAAATATTGATATATTCAATATCCTGTGATAAACCATAATGGAAATGAATATAAAAAGAAATATATATGTGTGTATAACTGAGTCACTTTGCTTGTACAGCAGAACTTAACACAACATCGTAAATCAACTCTACTTCAATAAAAAAATAAAATAAAAATAATTCTTACGTCTTCATAATGGAGAAGGAGATAAAGGAGAAATGGAAATGAGCATCACCAAACAAGTTGACTTCGGGGATCCTGATTATCTTAGTCCTAACGGTCGAGGCTGTGGACCAGCCGACTGTATCTCGTGACGCCTGTTCGTCCTGGGGGAATGAGGCCTTCGCTGTCAGAGCTCACTAACCCTTGTCACCTTGTGCTTACTCCTCCAGAGGTGACCCACTACTTGGGCATGGGACACCGGCCCCTTCCCCACTTCCTGTGATTGAGCCAGCGGCCGGGGTTACTGTGGGGATGCCTGTCCATCACCAGAAGTCAGACTCTTGGGAGATGGACCCTGACTTGTTGCCCAGCTGCAGGCTCAGTGGCCTGAGCAGAGGGGGCAGTCTGGAGAGTCGGGCCAGCAGCTCTCGCTCCAGAAGTCTCACTCGGGTGAGTCCCTGTTTCTCTGGTGCTCTGTGTACTTGAATGTTGGCTGATTTCGCCCCCCTATCAGGAGTATCTTACAACATCCTTTTGGGGTAACTAGCTTGACGTCTTGGAATACTCGCTCTCTGAAGCGGCATTTCAGTGTGAATCGTATTAAGTTTTGCACAAAATCCAGAGCAGTGATAACTTGGCTGCTAAGACCCAGAGCACGCCGTGCCTGAAGGTGGCCACCAGCCCAGGCCAGGGCACCTGCCTTTCAGGTCCAATGACTGGAAGAAGGGAAACACCTCACAGGATAACATCAAATTCACTTTAAAACATATGTTTAAGTCCTTTACAAATATAAATGCTTTCCTATCCTTTTCTCTCACCATCCAGACCTTTACATAAGTGTCAACAAGCTTTGGGAACTTTCACAAAAAGTCTGTAAAGTTAAGAGATGATCTTTTGGCCCTCCCCACCCCTCAGGGTATTCACCTTTCAGGATGGAGACCTTCATATTCATAGAGGGAAGGACAGGAGAGAGTCCACCTTGGATCTCAATAAAAATGGTCCATTGTTCATCTCAGCCCATCTTCAATGGGAGCACAAATTTTCTAAAGATACACCAATCCCTAAAATTAACCCCAGTTATGCTGAACATAAGAAAGAAGTGTACAGAGGGCAGTTAATAGTAACAATAGAATTTTATAGGCTCCTACTTGCATATTTTCTTTTTTTCAATCACCATGGTAAGTATGTAATAAATATTATTTGATTCACCAAAGGAAAAATATACTACGAATTACTCTCTGGGGCTACCCTGGTGGCGCAGTGATTGAGAGTCCGCCTGCCGATGCAGGGGACACGGGTTCGTGCCCCGGTCCGGGAGGATCCCACATGCCGCGGAGCGGTTGGGCCCGTGAGCCATGGCCGCTGAGCCTGGGCGTCCAGAGCCTGTGCTCCGCAATGGGAGAGGCCACAACAGTGAGAGGCCCGCGTACCGCAAAAAAAAAAAAAAAAAAATTACTCTCTGAATATCTGAGAATCTATAAATCCTTAAGAATAGAGAATTTGGGACTAATTTTTAAATTTAAAAACTTTATTTAAAGAATATGTTAAAAGAATAGGTAGAAAGACATACAGATGAATACTCCAGTCATTAGTGGAGTCTGTTCTCCAAAGCACAGTTAGGAAGCAGTTCTGCTCTGATGTAGAGGGTATTTCTAAAACATGGCGTGGATAACTTAGGAACCATAGTCTAAAGGGCTGCCCTGTGTGCGTGGGGAGGGAATAAAGTCAAGAATGGTCGTCAGATGACCTTGGTCTCTGAGGAAATGGGTATAGTGCGTTATGAGTCAGTGCTCGAATTATTTTCTTGCCTTTCACGTTCATTTTCTTATTGAACTTGAGGCAAATCTCTTAACATCCTTTGTACCATGGCCTCTTTTGATAGAAAGCTGAAGTGATACCTGTTGTCTGTCTCTTCCTGGGAGAGTCCATAACCCCAGGTGTATCACATGCGCTGAATTTTGGGCAGGAAAGTCGCTACTCTTCTATCTCCACTGTAGTCATATAGGGTCCATTCTTCACATGCACCAACTCATACCCACCCTCACCACATCCTCTGCGGTGGGTCAAACTCATACTCCAAAGACAGAAAGGACTTGATTGAGCTCTGCAAAGGACTTGATTGAGCTCTGCAAACCCGTCCATGGAGGACTGCCTTCCGTCTGTTCTATGTAGGTGATTTATCCCTTTGCTCAAATACTGAAGCACTGTTCTCGGAGGTGAAGACAGAGGCAGAGCTTGCAGTCTGGTGGCTGTGGTTCACCCTGACAGAATTGGCTGCAGATTTGCTTCCACAGGCAGCAGACTCTGAGATGGACAACGTTACAGCACAGAAGGCTTATTAGGGCTGTTCCTGGGCTCAACATCTGGAAGGAAGAGGAAGCAGGGTTTGGGCAGAGAGAGAAGCTGGGCTGTGAGGCAGACCCAACAGAGGCCTGAGCTGTTCCTCAGGAGGCCCTGGCGCTGCTGGGCCGAGAGTGGAGCCTGGATACCCACTCTGCCATCAGCCCTGGGATGAGGACATCCCTGGAGGGAGGCACGACCTTGACAAGACAGTTCCTTTCAGTTGGAGACAGTCCCCAAAGGGGACTGACAGCTGAGGGCCGCCTGCCAGCAGCATTCCCAACAGATGGGGGACCAGGTCCTTCATCCCCAGGGTGACCTGGGGGGCACATCACACTCCCTACCACGAAGGTGTAGGAGAAAAGGAACAGAGCCTTTTAGAGGGACCGAAGGCACCAGAGCAGCTATAAGATGTCTGAACTAGAAGAAGCAAGACTGTGAAATGAATTCGGGGAGTTTACAAGAGACCACCATATAAATACAGCTCTTCACAGAGCGTCTGTCTAGGCAGGTGGGGTGTTCATTCCATCACCTGGCAGATTTGGAGAATATGCATCATTTTGACTCTTTGTCAGGATGTCAGACCCAGGAATTCATCTTCAGAGGCAAAAGGTCTTCTTTGAAAGAAGGTCTGCTAAGTTTCAGCTCCAGAGTCACAAGGAGAAATGGTTTATTATAAAACTTTTTATCACGGATGTATTTTTTGGTAAGATATGAGAATTATCTTTAAGTTCAAAGACAGAAAAGACTATAAATCTCTTATATTTGTAAATCTCAGGAGGTCAAGATGGGCGAGGTGAGCACAGTGTTATGCCTATGAGCCGCCTGTGCTGGAAGGGCTTTGTGAGCCTTAGTGCTGGGCTAAGTAGGTTCCACAGTGGAGTCGAGTACAGATCAGAAGGACGTTCCCCAAGATATTTATAATTTCTCTTAAGTCCTCCCAGAAATCCGTATGCATTTTTCAAGTTGCTTTATTTACTGATACTAATCAGTATCCTGAAAATTGGCTCAGGATAGTAATAAACACAGGATACTAGAGACATGCCTGGGTTCAAATTCAAATGTACCTCCCTCTGGAACCTGGGAAAAGTAACTTAATCACTTTCTTCATTAGTTATTTTCTTCATTAGTTTAAAGGGGGGGGGGGGAAGGGGGATAATAATTCTTTATCAAGGGTTACCGGTAGAGATGAAAGGCCCAGCATCTAATCAGTGCTTCCTAATTACTGGTACAAGGTCCTGTGAGTGCCCTGTTAGCCCCAGGTGGAGAATAACTCCACTCCATCCTGCCCCGTCATCCTGTTTGGATCTGTGCTTTCCCATCTATCCATCTCTTATCAGTAGCCTTGGGGGGGGGGGAAGTGGGATAATAATTCTTTATCAAGGGTTACCGGTAGAGATGAAAGGCCCAGCATCTAATCAGTGCTTCCTAATTACTGGTACAAGGTCCTGTGAGTGCCCTGTTAGCCCCAGGTGGAGAATAACTCCACTCCATCCTGCCCCGTCATCCTGTTTGGATCTGTGCTTTCCCATCTATCCATCTCTTATCAGTAGCCTTCTGAATTTCTTTCTTTGACCAGTAAAGATAGGATGGTAAAAGGGAGTCTAAATTTGGGGAGGGTCTATATGTTTTTATTCTAAATCCTCAGTCTTTTTATGACTTGTCTTTTTAGAACGACAGTCAACTGTAGTAGTTTCCCTACTCCCTGTTCTTTATTCCCTGACCTCATAAAAGGTTTGTCAGTAACAGTGTTTTTAGGCCTCCAGATTGTATGGGATTAAATGCACCCCTTGGAGGGCTCTTTACATAAAAGATAGTTCCAATTTATAGAAGTGTGTATTTCTTTTAAGTAACAGTTATTTTTAAAAAGAAGATTAAACATTAATGCCTAAAGTTAAATGAGAGTATTGTAAAGTTTTTAAACACTAGTTGAAGTGTGGCCTGGAAGATGACAGATCTTTGCTTTTTAGAAACCTTTCTCCTGAGGCAGTACAAGTTAAAAATTAAAATAGCTGCTTAGGTAGGATTGTTGTGGCTATCCACATGGCCACCGTCATAACCCAGGCTGTTCTAGGAGGGTGAAGTATGTGAACTTTTTATCGCTCAAGAGGCCAGTTGTGGTTGTGTGCGTGTATTGTTTTTCTTGTAAGGAATTCTTCCTCTGAACATTTTCTAGCAAAATGTATATCTAGAACTAGAACAAACTGGCCAGGACTTCCCTGGTGGTGCAATGGTTAAGAATCTGCCTGCCAATGTAGGGAACACGGGTTCGATTCCTGGTCCGGGAAGATCCATGTGCCGCAGAGCAACTAAGCCTGTGCGCCACAACTACTGAGTCTGTGCTCTAGAGCCCGCGAGCCACACCTACTGAGCCCACATGCCACAACTACTGAGCCCTCATGCCACAACTACTGAGCCTGCGTGCCTAGAGCCCGTGCTCCGCAACAAGAGACGCCAGCACAATGAGAAGCCTGTGTGCCGCGACGAAGAGTAGCCCCCGCTCACCACAACTAGAGAAAGCCCACATGCAGCAATGAAGACCCAACACAGCCATAAATAAATAAATTTTTTTTAAAAAGAGCAAACTGGCCATATACTTGACTAAGAGGGTCTCTTTTTCCTTTGAACTGTAAGAAGGACACCTTCAGTACAGTACAGTTGGTAGTGTAGTTCTGGAACTTACCACCTCGAGAGGTGATGGGGATTCAAAATAAAAGGTGCAGGAAGGATTTAGAGACATTCATAAATGATAGCTCTTTAAGGGGGCAAAGGAAGTTTTGGGTATAAGGTGACATATTCTTAAGCTCTTAAGGCCAATATCTCAGACACACATCTCATCAAACATCCGGGGTGCACTTCCAGGGACCAGTACTGCCTCATGCCAGGATCCTTAGGTTCTTCTTATGCACATGGTCTGAAGCCTGCTCTGCCCGGCAGGCACCCTGAAGCTTCCTCCAGAAAAGAATATGATTTAACTAGCTGAAAAGAGGGGATGCTCTTAATACCCATAGGAATTAAGGAATTTCATAATGTGTGTGCCACTTTGAAGGTGGACTGGAAACAGCCCAAGTCCCCAAGCATACTTTCTATTCATTTTTGTCTCTAACTTG